GAAGCAGGGCTCAGCTGCATCAGCCAAGCCCTGCTCCCAGCCATGTTGACAGATGTTAATGAAGGTCTGTTTTGGAGCGCTTTCATGTGAAAATATATTTCATATTTTTGTGTTATTGGGCATTTTTAAAGTGCTCTTCAGTCATGTACGTCTGTCAGTGCCTGGCTGCAAAGTGCTTTCAGTGGCCAATCACACAACAAACTGTCATCTGACAGCGCCCTCTTTAATCTTGAAAGTTGTTTCATGATGTACAGTTAGGACTGCAAACGGATACTGTTTGGATGCAAGTAATATTAACCATACCGTAGTCGTAGTTACATCTCAAGGCTTATGTTTGCCCATTCCTTTGCACAGAAACTTTTGAAGTATAAAAACATTAGGGCATGCATGGAGAAGGATCACGCTGAAGAAAACATGGGTTTAATCACACATCTTTGTGATAAAGAGGCACTTGCTAAACACTTCCCTTTTAAACCATACTCCTGATTGGACTTGGGTGGACAATGGAGGAAAAGTTTGGTTTTGTATGTTGTGTTTGTGCTTTCTTGTCACTAATATTTGTAGTAGCCAAGCTTTGGCTGGACAGTTGTTCATAGAAAGGGGATTGCAAGGTTTGTTTTGTGCAGAAGCCAAATTGATTTCAGGTAGAAGCAGTTCCGTGCCCATCACAAAATTCAAAGTAGGCAGTATACAGAAAGATAGACTGGGAGGACCCTGTTGAAAGGGGAAAGGGAAAAAAGAAGGGAGTCAGGAGACAGAATCAAAAGGAGGATATTTGTGGGCTCATTGTGCAGTGAAGCTCACTGCCACCTCTGTTCTAGTCAATCAGAGGGGTGAGGAGGAGGTTGGCATTTTGATACTGCATGCTGTCCTGAAGGATCACTGCTGGGACATGGGGAACTTTCTGACACAAGGGGTCCAAAGGAAAGAGGGAGTGCAGCCAGCAGGTTTCTGCTTTGTCTGCAGAATTCTCTATGTAGCTTGTGGGATCACCTGGGTAAAATAGATGAAAAATGGGCAAAAATGAGCCACCATATCCATGGCAAATGGGAAATGTTGATATGCTGTGGAGGAGGTGACCAAATCTCACGTGCAAGCTAAGGTTTATAGATTAAGTTATAAAACTCTGAGATTAAGTTATAAAACCTTAACAGAAGGTATATTTTAGGATTATTGACTGTATCCGTTGCATATTAACTATTCCAAATTGGGCAAACAATAAAACTAGTGTATTTTTTCAGTTTGGTGCCTGTAAGTCACCTGACCATTCATGCAAAGTAGAGGTTTCACACCCCTTTGTTCAAGCAGCTCCTTACAGAAATTTTAACCAATGATGTCCTTGGAAAGTCATACAAAGCCACAATGACCACACTTCCTACTCTCCAAGGTGAAAGGGTTTTTTTCTTTCCTTTCCTTCCTTTCTTTAATTTTATAAGAATTCTTCATAGATGTGGGGACACCTTTGGCATTAGCAATATTTTCTGAGGCTGTACTTAATTGTTGACTTAAAAAAAGCACAGAGTTGTGAGTCTTCCTCTGTTCTCTGCTACTGGCTTTCTGAGGGTGATCTTATCCATATCACTTTGCTTCTTTCCTTCAGTTTCTTTTCCTTAGGAATAATAATTCCCACTATACTTACCTCGTAAAGCAGTTGAGAGATTTTATTGGTTAACATCTATATAGCATTTGAGAAATAAAGCACTATATAATTCCTAAATGTTGTTATTTACAATACAAAATTATGTAATCTGAAAAGTGGATAACTCTACCATCACATTTTTATGATCCAGACTATTATAGGCCTATCTAGATATATAATTAAAATTATTTTATTTCTGCAGTAAAAAATGAGGATCTCAGTTGGGTTTTTCCACCAACCCTACACAGACACAAGACAATTCTCCAGTCCGGGGACATACAGCTTGTAGGCTGGGTCTGGCCCATGGAGCTGGTGACTTTCAGCAGGGTTCCAGCACCAGAGGATTTTGCTACCACTTTAAAAATTGTGAACTACTGCTTTAGTCAGTATGGATCTGTAAGCTCAATGGACCACTGTGAAGATTGGGATCATTAAAATTAAGTTCTGGGAACTAAAGCAGGATAAGCAGAAAAGGGTTGGCCAGAAAACTTCTTTTTCACACACAAAAAAAAGGGGTTTTTTTCATTCTAAAAGACGAATCGGTTCAGAAGACATTTTCTTATCAGAAAATACTAAACCATAGACTGTTTTTTGTGGGAAAGGCTTAGATCTAAACACTTCTGAAAGAAAAAAAATCCAAAATTATCCAAATATTTTTATTTTTGACATTTTTAAAGGAAAAAAATGTTTCTGGTTCCAAACTAATTTTGTTTTGTAAATTCATGCTAATGACAGCTGAAAATAAAAATAGTCAAAATAAAAAGAAACTTTTTAATATTATTAACATGGAAAATTTTTATTGACCCATTTTGTCTTGCTTTTGGTTTTTTTCAGGTTGTCAAGATTTTTTAATTTTGCATCAATAGTTGGGACAAGAAAATATATTTACATCTCAGAAACATTCATGGGATTGGAAAATCATTTTCTTCCCAGTTCAAAATCAGTAAATAAATATTATTTGGTCTAGCAAGAGAACCTGACTCTCATGATCTGTGCTCAGGTCACTCTACTTTGATGGGCGAGACCTTTGGTCAAGACCTGGCTTGGCCTGATACAAACAAGAGACTTGTAGCTCTTCCAATTACAATAACATTTTCATCAAAACCAATATATTCCCAAAGTATATTTTGATTTCAACAAAAAGAGATTTTTAACCAAAAAAAAAAAGTTTCGTCACAAAAGTTTTGACTAGCTCAGAAAACTTCTATCTACTGCAAATTCCCAGAAAGGAAATTGAAATGGTTTTACAATAGTGCTGAACTGAGGTTAAAGACCTAAACCAGAATTTTCATTGCCATCAGCAGGAGTTAGTTTCTCCATCTTTAAAAGCAAAGATAATAGCTACCATCTTCACAGGAGTATTGGGAGGACTAATGATAATGTTGGGAAAGAAGGGGCATTGTCATTATTATCACTGCTCTTTTGCAGACAAAACATGCAATGGACATCCCAGGACTTTCTTTTCCTGTCATGTTATCATTCATATATACACAAAATAGCTTTCAGGACTACAGATCCAAAATGATGAAACTTTACACTCACTTGGTAACATTTTCTTTAATGATGTGGCTCAAAAAGGGGGAATGTACTAATGTCATCTGTTGATGACACAAAGTTAGGAAGTATCACCGGTATAGAGGATCTCAGCATCATACAGGAGGAACTGGATTAGCTTGAGGATTGGAATAACAGAAATGGGATGCAATTTAGTAGTACAAAGTGAAAGGTGGTGCACTTAGGGACAAATAGCAGAAACTTCTCACATAAACTAGGGGCTTACTAGTTGGAAACCATCAGAGGGCCATATTAGTCTACTGCAACATTCAATGTGAAGCAACTGTGAAAAGGAAATGTGATCCTAAAATGACATCAGGTGAGATATGACCAGTAGAGGAAGGAAATTAATAATGTATGAGGTACTGCTGAAACTTCATCTGGAATACCAGGTTTTCTTGGGGTTTTATTTTTTGCTACCCACTCTTTACTCCTTTACGCACTTCACCCACTCTTTACTCCTTTATTTTGTAATACTGGGCACATGCTATATGACCTACTAGGCAGACCTGGGCTCTCATCATCCCTGATGGCTAACACTGCTCATATCATTTTAAGTGAGGTTGATGTCAATAGGAAAGCATCTGTGGGCATAATAGCTAACCAAAGTATGGTCATCATTTCATGAAAGACCTGGTGAAATGAAACCACGGAGTCTTAATGGGTTTTCCCCAAACATGGCCTCTCAACTTCACCAGCTTCTCCACATTCTTCTGTCTTGCAAGAAAAGTTCCTGCAAGCTCTTTGTCCCCAGCACCCTAATAACATGCTGCAGCATTGC